GAACTCATACTCGAAAAGGTGAAATATACAATGCGCACTTGTAGAGACACGCTTTCTTCCGCTTCGCCCACTGTAAAATGTTGGCGCAGGGCTACTCAGGATTTTTTTAGGGGGTGTGGTGTGCAGCAGAACGCCAAGCTTTGGCAATCGGTGGTCACTGTGAATGTCTGTAATTATTTTAGTGTACCCTGAAAAGTTCAAATACCAAAACATTTCATGGTGTTGGGGGTTCAGATCCCCTTCTCCCATCTTTTTTTGTGGTTTTCTGGTTCTGCGTGCGTGTGACACAGTATTTGTTTTTTTTAATCTCACAGCTTTCTGAGCACAGCTAATTTCCAATAAATCAGCTCAGTTATTCTGAATATTGTAGACACCTAACCACCGAAGAAAGAGTTAAGAGAGAAGAAATCAATATAAGACACACCCTTTCTGAATTGTTATTGATCTCTCAGAAGGGCTTTTATGGAGCTCAAATTCAGTAGATGAGCGTGTCATACTTTAAGGGCTATGGCATCATGTGCTACACATGAATGATGGGCGGGGACGAAGAAATCTGCATCAATAAATTGCGACAGAAGAGCCAAAGTGCATAGCAGTTCCTACACGCGACGCGCGGCTCTTTCACTACTATTCTTTCATTGCGTAGTTCAGGACGAACACATCTGGTGGATCACTGCAAGTCTTGTGGGTGCGTACCAATTTTTACACACACAAAGATTTTGTCAACTCACAAGAGAAAAATTAACAGAGAGTTGATTGAAGCATTCCATATTAGAAACATGGGAGAAAAATGTGTTAGCCAAGCTTCCGTCACCTTGTCCGATAAAGAATTTGAATTTTTGAAAGGCACGTGCAACAATCCGTCTGCAGATGCGTGAACTCTTCAATTTTTGTCGTTATGAGGTTCTTATCATACGTAGCGCTGAATAAGCTTGCTTTAGATTATCTCGTTTGTTCCTGGATCCACCGATGGGGGGGGGGGGGGCGTGTGGGCTACGTGAAGATATAAGTACAGTTCGTTGTTCAAAATAAACCAGTTGTGAGTTTGCGCCCGTGTTGTTTGCCTCTTTTCCTTGTGTCCGTGTACGTGTTTGCGCAAAGAAGTCATGAACAGTACTATTCGACTGCAGCGCTGCCGCTGCAGGCAACGTGGAAGGGATCAGGCGGCTAGGCACGGTCACGCCCCTCAACACTTCCAGTACACTCTAGCATTGCCTAGGTTTAAAGGCACGGACAACGCCTTCTCTAAAAAGGTGCCTGCCGCATGAGGAGAAAAACAGCTGCCACACCTTTTCCCTCCTTCATTTTAGAATGTTCTCAGTCGCTAGCGTCACTCGTGGCGGACAGTGCAACAACGCAACACTTTACGTAGCCTCCGAAATAGCTGCGTACAGTTGCTGGTCTTCAACAACTCTCGACTGACGCTCCCCTATGGTCTGCAGGTGAAAAACGCTTAGCTGGTACTACAGTGTCTAGAAATATACTGCCTAGTGTGCGGAGCGCGGGCTAGGAAATGGCCCTGCAGCTGACGACTGCCGGCAGCGCCCGCATGGTGCGTTGCTGTACGAGGTGGTAAAAATACAAATATCTGGGCGTATGGATAAGCAATGGGACCGAGTACCTAAGGGAACACGAAATATACATCACGACTAAAGGTAACAGGAATGCAGCAGTGATAAAAAATAGGGCACTGTTGAATTACAATAGGTATGATGTTGTGAGAGGAATATGGAAAGGGGTCACGGTTCCTGGGCTGACGTTCGGCAATGCAGTCTTGTGCATGAGATCAGAAGTTCAAGCAAGATTAGAAATTAAGCAACGTGAAATAGGTAGGCTTGCTTTAGGAGCTCACGGGAATACACAAAATCAGGGAGTACAAGGTGATATGGGATGGACATCATTTGATGGCAGGGAAGCTAGCAGCAATATAAAATTTCAGAAGCGATTGAGAGAAATGGGGGAGGATCGTTGGGCTAGGAAGATTTTCAGCTACTTGTACATGAAGAATGTCGATACAAAATATGGAGGAAGCGAACCAGGAAATTGACTGGTAGATACTTAGAAAACAGCAGTGACCAAACCAAAAAGAACTATCGGTTAAGAAGAAAGTGAAGGAAACGGAAACTGACATGTGGAGAATGGGCATGATTAAGAAGTCCGCACTAGAGATCTATCGAACTTTCAAGCAGGAAATTGCCAAGGAAAGGATCTATGATAATACTCGGGGTAGTTCTCTATTGTTTGAGGCCAGGACGGGAGTACTGCGAACCAAGACATATCGGGTCAAATACGAACGGGTAGACACAGTATGCAGTGCGTGTGGAGAGGAACATAAAACTGCCGAACACTTGATAATGTTCTGTAAAGGGCTTCACCCTATAGTTCAGGATGATGGCGCAGAGTTTTTCAAAGCACTGGTGTTTAGAGACAGGGTGGGCAAAATAGACTTTAAGTGGATAGAATTAACTAGAAGGCGGTAATCTAATTAGTGGCTAAAGTCAAGGCACGAGTGAAAATTAAACCCTTCACTGCAAAGTACGAATTCTCAACCTTACTATTTAAAGGCGTATTCGGATGGGGTAATTCGAGCGCTCTAGAGCACTCTGAAAAGCAGCCGCGCCTTTGGTTGGTGAAATTCGAGCGCTCGGACTGCCTTCGGTCGGTTTTTTCGGAGCGTCAAACTCTGACTCAGAGCGCTCCCGACCGCTCTGACTTCGAAGTGAGAGCGTGGCGCGATCTGGCCAAGAGGACGGATCACGTGACACAAGCTCTTGGTTGCCGGCCGGTGACAGCGCGAGCGCTCATTCTAAAGGGGCCGTCGCCGGTGTTGTTCGTGGCGTGTATTTGCGTGGCGAGTTCGTGTCTACAAAGCCGTAAGGACACCATGTCAAAAAGGAGGCGGCTAATGAAGGCAGAGGAAACGTCAATGCTGTTGTTACAGCAGCTCGCAGACGAATGCCTTGACGCTAGCAGTTCGAACGACGACGATCGCCAGATTTATGCTAGCAAGTTCGCCGAGTTGTTCGCCAAGCCTATTGTTGTTCTAAAAGTCCAAGGGTATGTTCGGAACGTTGTCAGCAATTATTCCGATAAACAGGTAAGGTCGGGCCGCATGGCAAACATGACAGCACGTAATGTTATCACCATTTAAAGTTTCGCACCAACTTCCACCTGGCTCGTTCACCGTGTTACGAGCTCATCAAACAGTTTGAGCCATCAGAATTTCACCCGTCAGACAGAAACCATGGCGGTGTGCCCGTGAAAACGCCCGAGGAGCACATTCTCTCATTCCTCTGGTGAGCAAGTTACATTTTCTGTCAACTACATGCCACACGCGTTGCTTCAATGTTCAGTGTACGACATGCAGTGTAGCTCAACTGTCAACATAGATGCCAGGCTTCTGTCAAAGTTTCCTTCTCTATTATGATCAGATGTGTCCAAATTCGCCGTGAAAAAAGTTTCTAATCATCCCTTGAGTTAATTAATGGAGGTTTTTTTTCAAGGAGTCATGCTGCTTAGTGCTTCCACCATAGTTTTGAAAAAGTGCATTACAGGAACAGCGTTTTTTGTTGTGCTTCCAGAAATGCTAAGAAAAGGTGTTCGCAACCTTGAGGCCTTACTTCGTGTACAGCCTGAACAAAAATGACCGTAAGCACGTCGTCCCCCCTCCACCTTTTATTTTGCGGAAAACATGGAATTCCATAGCGTATTATAGCCTTTCCTGTGGATGTTGATTAGCAAGGAAAACAACAGACATTTCCAGCCTGAGGCCAACTACACTTTTGACGTGTGCACGACCTTATTTAATGTTGGTTCACTTTAAGGGGTTACGCAAACACGTGCTGTTTTATTTTATCTTGGCGCACAATAAGGCGAAAATGAATACTCGTCATATTACCAAGCGACAAATACTACAAATATAGTAATAAATGGCCAATTTGAGGCCCATGCAGAGCACTCACAAACATTACGTGTAGTGATGTAGTGACTTCCACATGAAGTTTTAATTAGTGTCATTTCAGCTGTCCCATTATTGGATTCAAGTCTTGGTTTACACGCAACATTATGCAGTTGCAGGTATTTTGTTGCATCTTCTTGTTACGACGCAAATAAATTCATAACCTGTACAATATTTATAGGTATGCTGTCAACAAGGCCTCAATGAGAGAGGTTGCGGTCCTCTTTGACATGGCTGAGTCCACTCAGTTCGCTGTGACTGATAGAGTTCTCGGCTTTCTGTGCAAGATTGCTCCAGATGTCATACACCTTGTTCTAGACAAAGATGCATTGGCCAGGGATTTCGAGAAAATGAGTTTGTAAATTGCCTTACATTATTTTTAGGCACAGTCATGCATATTGTCGAGGATTATTAAAACAAGCATGAAGAAGCAGTTCTTTTGAACTTCGACATTTTCTTTATGTCAATGAGATCAATATAATAGAAGGTACTGCATGCTTATTCTTGGAAAATCATGTATACACAAAATGGAATCATGGCTTGGCTGATCACGCCTAATAATTTCCACTTATTAGACTGAATGCTGCAAACTGGAGTGTACTCGCGCATTTTTCTAGCCTTTGCGTATACAGTTAATTTTGACTTAGGAATTGCTTACTCTCTTTTCAGCTAGCAGGATTTCCAGGTGTTATAGGATACATCGACGGGACCTACATTCCGATGCGCTGCCCGGCGAATAAAGTTAGGTCTACGTATATAAACAAACACGACGAGGTGTCGATGACAATGCAAGGAATCTGCGATAGCAAAGGCAGATTTCAAGGCGTTTTTACTGGACCACCAAGCAAGGTACACGACTCCCGTGTGCTGAGCTTATCAAGTATACAATGAGACTTGTCCGCACTTTGCCAGGTGAACAAGTATCACATCCTTGGAGATGCTGCATATGCTATTAGGGAGCACCTGCATACGCCATTTAAAAATTACGGCAACATGACACAAGATAAAAGCAGGTTCAATTATCGGCTTTCATTTACAAGGGTGGTGATAGAAAATGCTTTTGCTTTATTGAAGCAGAGGTTTCGCCAACTTCGATACATTGAGTTTACCAAAGTGGACAAGATCACACAGTTTATATCAGCATGCTGTGTGCTCCACAACATATGCCTGGACAGTGGTGACACTGGTGTGGAGGATTTATTGACTGAAGAAAAGAGAGAAGAAATAAGACAAGATGCACTACTACAGATCAGAAAGGAGCGCGCCGAGCTGGACCAAAACAGGCAGCCACAGACTGACCGCGAAAGTGTGCTGCGCCGTCTAGGTGAACTGAAAAGAAACGCTTTGATGCAGCAGCTATGAGAAGTGATGGGAGCAGGAACCAAAGAAAAGTTTATATAATTCCAAAACTAAGTTTTAATGAAGAATTTGATGTGCATACGCAGATTTGTGTACAGGGTATGCTGTGCTTTATATGCCTGTCTTTGTTGCTAGGTCTTTTAGTGCGTCGATATGCTCCTTGTGAAGTTTAATTAGTTCAAGATGCCGTTCCTCTCTTCTTTTTTCTCTTTCGTCCCTTTTCGCCTCTCGTTCTATGTTGATCTTCTCCATTCTTTCAAAAAATACTGCATATGCATCATTCGGCTACCACCACTGGGCTGACCAGTTTCACTGTTTTTCATTCTTTTTCTTCGTTCATGGCCTGCTTCCTCTGCTGTCTCGCAAGCGGAGTCAAGAAGTTCGGAGCTATCGTGGTCGGTACTTTCAGAGGATGCAGTTGCACTGGTAGATGTGCTGGCTTCATCAACTGGCTTGGTAACACTCTAGTAGGTCACAGAATGCACACCGCGGAGAACTTCAGGCTCAATACTATCGTCTGCAGCCCTTATTTGGGCAAACTCTTCTTCATAAGACACTTGGCAGCGATTATTGCCGGATGTCTTGTTGTTTGTGTCTTCAGTTTTTTTTTCGCTATGGTCTCGAAACGCGACTCACACTGTGTAGCGGTTCTGCAGATTCCAATCATTTGAAGTATTTCTTTCGAAATGTGTTCATACATGACCCGCTTGCTCCGAAATTTTTTCATCGGGCCAACCTTGCTTCAATATTGGGCATAGAGTGTTAATAAAAGCCTAGTTTCTCCTTTCTCCATGGTCCTGTTTAAATTGGAAAAGAATAAATGCTAGGTTATAGCACAAGTGACATTCAGATTTTGTATACTAGAAAGAAAAACTAAAGTTTGAATGGCCGAGCAAGTTTATTTTTTTTAGGTCAATGCAGCGTTATTGTAAGCAAAAGAAAGGTGTACGTGCAAGACTGCAGTAAAGGCCAAAGAAATAGAGGGTTGGACTACCACGGACATTTCTGCAAATTTTCAGATTTTGTGTACTAAAAAAAACCAGTGGTTTGAATGGCCACACAAGGATATTTTTGATGGCACTGCAGCATTAAAATAAGTACACGAGCAAGGCAGCAGTAAACACTTAAGTCAAGGCCCGCCTGATTTAAGACAGTCTACCACAATCACAACTGAAAAAAAAACGTAGCAGCGAGGGTTATGCTTACTCGTACAAGAAGTACCCAAGCTATCTGCATTGCCTGCGTCCACAGGCGAGACTCGGCTTGGCTCGTTGCCTACGAAAAACAATAAATTTCATTATTACGACTTTTATAGCTATTACAAGCGGTTATATGCAAAAGCGTATATTGCTGCACAGGAGGCATTCAGCTGTGTGTATGCAGGCGATCGAAATGGCAGCTTGATCAACCGCGTAATTGACGAAGTTGAATTTCAACTTGAGCGATTTAAACAATGCAGCAGCAGTAATGTCTGTCTGCAGTACTCATGACTGGTATGCGCTTATTTCTCGAGATAATCATCTCATGTCGCGACAAATCTATTCTCAAAAGGCAATGTTGGCTCTCATCTACGCGGCTGAGTCTAAATTGTCAGGATTCAAAATGTGGTATGAATGAACCGCCGTAGCTTAAAACAGCAAGTTAAAGGAGTGTTAAAAAACCAGCGCACGCGTTTTTGTCTCGATTTGACGTTAATAAAACAAGCACGTGGTTAAATACGTCGGCGCAGGTACAGGTGTTAACTCCAAAACTTCATGAACAACGCACGAAGGGGCTGCATTACAGCTCGAGTCACTCGCAAAAGATAAGTTCATTCGCAAGTTGTTTTTACTTAACTTACCGCCATACATTGCCAGCATGAGGGACTGTGCTGGGCTCAGACGGCTGTCACCGCGTCCAGACATGTCGGAAATCGCCATTAAATTGACCGGCGCCATTTGTCGATGCAGTGCAGAAATGTTTACCCAGCAGCTTCCCGCGCTCGCTGCAGGGTGGCGCTACAGGCGTGCTGCTCCGACATCGCCGATGTATTCGGTTGGTACGCTGCCTCTCGCGCTCGGATTGCGAGCAGCCACTCTGAGCCAGAGGACCAGAGCGGTCAACCGAATACGCAATAAAGAAGAAAAAAGATAAATCTAGTGGTTAGTTCACTAAGCATTACGGTTAGGTGGCGTCAGCCGCCGCCCAATCCAAAGGGCCACAAAGGGCCACATCCATCCATCCATCCATTCATCCATCCATCCATGCATTTGCGTTCAATCCTTGAGCTCCGCAAGCCCTGCGAAGCCTGCAGGAGGCCGAGCCGCGCAAGGCCAACTATTATTTTCCTGCATTTTTGGAGTGTTTTTTCACATAGTCCTTCATTGTATAACAACTACTCGATTGCTTTCACAGTACTGACGCTTTTCAATACCAAATGAAGATCATTTCGTGGCATACATTTCGCCATCCGCTACTGCCCGCCAAAAAAAAATAAAGACGCAGATCCCACGTAACTTGATAAACAATTCTATGCAAGGTGACTGTTGTAATTTTTTATTAAGTGAAACGTTATGAAGTGACGCTAAATATATGTGAAACGGGTTGTTGAACAAACAGGAGTTGACTCGGCGAAGGAGAGCTTTATTTAGCGCAAGGACTAACTGAACGCAAGCCTGCGATCACAGCAAGTCTTCTTCCTTTTCTATCGTCGAGCTTCATGCCCACTGCCCTCGTTACAATCACCCCCGAACGATGAGGGAGCCATCCTGGCGACCTAAGGACAGGTGTACACAGAAGGGTCATGGTATGGCTTGAGCCGAGAGATGTGTACGATTTCTTGTCCCCGACGGCGCTTGTCCGGAGATGCATCCAGCGGCTCGACAAGGTAGTTGACAGGGGATGTTTGACGTAGAACTCGATAAGGGCCATGGTACCTGGACGAAAGCTTGTCGGAGAGTCCTGGAGCAGTAGAAGGAATCCATAACCACACCAGTGAGTTCGGAGCAAAGCTCATATGCGTGGTTGACGCGTCGTGGCGATGTTTTTGGCGCGTCTGGTCATGTGACGTGAACGCACGAGCAAGCTTCCGACATTCTTCAGCGTGTGCTGCTGCTCGAGAAACGGTAGTCATCTCTGAAGGGTCCGGTCGATAAGGAAGAATGGTATCCATTGTTAATGATGGCTCGCGTCCATAAAGAAGGAAGAAAGGCGAAAATCCAGTGGTGCTTTGCGTTGCAGTGTTGTAGGCATATGTCACAAAAGGGAGTATGCTATCCCAATTTGACTGGTCGGATGAAGCGTACTTGGCCAGCATATCCCCAAGTGTACGATTAAAACGCTCTGTCATCCCATTTGTTTGCGGGTGATAGGCTGTGGTAGTGCGGTGTATGATGCGACACTCGCTCAACAACGCTTTGATGGCATCGGAGAGAAAAACGCGGCCACGGTCGCTTAGTAACTCCCGAGGTGCTCCATGCCTTAAAACCAGGTTTTGCAGTATAAAACACGCAACGTCTTTTGCGGTAGCAGAAGGTAACGCAGCTGTTTCAGCGTACCGCGTTAGGTGGTCGATAGCGACAATGACCCAGCGGTTGCTACTGGAAGTATATGGAAGCGAACCGTAAAGGTCGATTCCGACACGATCGAAAGCTCGTGCTGGACATGGCAACGGCTGCAAGGGACCTGTGGCATGTTGAGTGGGCATTTTGCGTCGCTGGCACGTAAGGCAAGACCTTACGTAACGGCGAACGAAACGGTACATACCGCGCTAGTAGTACCGCAGCTGCAAGCGGGTGTATGTTTTTAACACACCAGCGTGGCCACATTGCGGATCATCGTGGAACGTGGCACAGATGTCAAAGCGCAGATGTCGGGGGATGATGAGCAACCATTTACGGCCGATCGAGCTGTAGTTTCGGCGGTAAAGCCGGTTATCCCGAATAGCGAAGTGTGCTGCTTGACGGCGAAGCGTCCAGGAAACTGGAGCAGGCGTCCGGTTTGAGAGAAAGTCCAAAAGAGAAGAAATCCAAGCATCTCTGCGTTGCTCGGAAGGCATGTCCGAAATGGTGATGGCCAAGGCAGCACTAGTGAAGATAGGGGAGCCGACAGACTCTGAAGCCAATGGCGAATGTGACAGGGCATCGGCGTCGGAATGCTTCCGGCCAGAACGGTAGATAACACGGATATCGAACTCCTGTAACCGCAATGCCCAACGAGCGAGCCGACCATTAGGATCTTTTAGTGAAGATAACCAGCAAAGCGCATGGTAATCTGTTACAATATCGAACGGACGTCCACATAAATAAGGCCGAAATTTTCCGATTGCACAAATAATGGCGAGGCACTCCTTTTCAGTTACACTGTAATTCTTCTCGGCTTTACTGAGGGTGCGGCTGGCATAGGCAACAACGTACTCGCCAAGCCCTCCTTGCGTTGGGCCAATATGGCCTCTAGCCCGACACCACTAGCGTCCGTATGAAGCTCCGTTGGAGCAGACGGATCGAAATGTCGGAGTATGGGAGGCGTGGTGAGTAGCCGTCGGAGTTCCTGAAATGCATCATCACACGCCTGCGACCACGCTGACAAATCAGAACTTCCGGCAAGAAGATTGGTCAAGGGGGCGATATTGGAGGCGAAATTGCGGACGTAGCGCCGGAAATAAGAACATAGGCCGATGAAGCTTCGAAGCTCTTTGATGGTGGTTGGCTTTGGGAACGCCGCGACTGCATTAAGTTTCGTAGGGTCCGGGAGAATGCCGTCCTTAGAAACCACATGGCCGAGAATTACAAGCTTGCGAGCGCCGAAGTGGCATTTCTTCAAGTTAAGTTGAAGTCTCGCCGTGGAAAGGCACGTAAGAACTTGCTCGAGGCGGCTGAGGTGGGTCGCAATGTCGCTTGAAAATACCACAATGTCATCCAAATAACAGAGGCACGTTTTCCATTTCAGACCTCGCAAGACGGTATCCATCATCCTTTCGAAAGTGGCAGGCGCATTGCAGAGGCCAAAGGGCATAACGGTGAATTCATATAGTCCATCCGGTGTTACAAAGGCTGTCTTCGGGCGGTCACCCTCTGCCATGGGCACCTGCCAGTAGCCGGAGCATAAATCTAACGAAGCAAAGAACTGTGCTCCTTGTAGGCAGTCCAAAGCATCATTGATGCGTGGCAGAGGGTATACGTCTTTGCGCGTTATCTTGTTGAGTCGGCGGTAGTCAACGCAGATCCGGATGGATCCGTCTTTTTTCTTGACGAGAACAACCGGTGAAGCCCAGCGACTGTTGGAGGGCTCGATGATGCCATGTTTCAACATATCGTCCACTTGTTCGTCGATGACACGGCGTTCAGCAGATGACACACGGTACGGACGCTGCCTTAGCGGGGCTTGTTGACCGGTGTCAATACGGTGAACGACCGCAGAGGTTCGGCTTAAGCCTGACTGGTCACGATCGAATGAAGAACGAAAGCGGAGAAGAAGATTTATAATCTCTTCGCGGTGAGTTGGTGCGAGCTCAGAGTCGATGGCATCCGAGAATACGTCCAGAGCATCATTAGGCGCGTTGGTAGGAGTGACAGCACAAATTGGGAGCGAAACCGTAGAATCGGGGATAGTAGCCAGAAGAATGCATTCGCAAGGTTCGTAGCTTCCCAGGCATTCTTCACGTAGTAGGGATGACGGGCTGTCCGAGGGATTGCACACACAAATGGCAGCGTGACCATTGCGAAAAATGACGACGGCAAACAGAAGCATGATATTTCGACGGCACGCAGATGGGACCGATGGCATAAACAACACAGGCGATTTCGGAGGGGAGGCACACGACACCGAGACAACAACAGCTGAGAAAGGCGCAATGTCGACGTCGGAAGCAGCAAACACTCTACACGAAGCACCATCGTCGGGGTCATAGCACGGCACAGATAACGCGAGTTCAGAACGAGCACAGTCGACCAAAGCAGAATTTGACGAAAGAAAGTCCCACCCAAGGATAACGTCATGCGAAGAACGGAATACAACTACAAATATGACGACATACATCGCACCTTGAATGACGACTCGTGCAGCGCACAAAGCTGAAGGCTGAATATAATGGGACATAGCTGTCTGCAAAGATAGGTCGGTAAGTTGTGTGGTCACTTTCTTTAAGTTTCGGCACAGTTTCTCGCTAATTACAGATACGGCAGTTCCAGTGTCAACAAGTCCGTGTACCTTAATGCCATCAATATAGAGTTCGATTTCGTTCGGGGGACAGCACTTAGGTCTTGAAATTTTCGCTGCCAACGCAGTTCTTGCCTCCGGAACTGCGCCCGTAAGTTTTCCCCTCGCGGTGGGCTGTTGCGACGTAACATCGGAGAAATAGATCGACGACGAGGAGAAAGTGAACGGCTTGCGCCGGATGGTCGGTGACCGGGACGTACGTCTAGAGGTGGATCGGCAGGAACGGGATATCGCGGCTGAGTGGGCATGGTGGGCATGTAATGTGAGGCCCCTGCAATGCCATGAGAAGGGAAGCTGCGATGACGGCAGTGACGAGCTACGTGGCCTGGGATGCCACATGAAAAACATATTGGCCGATTATCAGGAGTGCGCCATTGGCTGACGATAGGGGCACTGTTCGCTGAATAAGGTACCGTAAATGGTCGTGCAGGTGGTGGCGTCATATAAACGTTCTGGCCTGTTTCATATACAGCCGGAGACGGGACGGTCAGCGAGCGGGAAGGTGGCGTCGACGAATGAACGTGGCGAGTAGCTTCGTAGATGGCCGGAGACGCTGGCGCACGTGGCCGAGCAACTGCGGCTGCATACGTTAGTGGTGCGGTAACAGTTGGTGGAGCCTGAGCTGGTGGCAATGCTTCGGCAACTTGCGATTGAATGACCTGGCGAAGCGAAGGCGACAAGGGTGCCATCGGCTCGGTAGTTCTTGTGATTATAGATAGCTGCCGGGCAACCTCCTCGCGTATAA